TATTTTTCACGTATTTTTTAATTCACACTGTGTAATATTTTATTATAAAACATATATATACAGAAATTAAATTAATATGTTTTATAAATAAATAATGTATTAATTTATATAAATATATATTTTTTTTCGAAGAAGAAAACAACAATGTTTTCTTTATTTTGTTTTCTAAAAGTTCGCTTTTGTACGGAATTAATAATAAAATAATGTCATAACGTACAAGGTCGGGCAACGAGCCAGATAAATACAAATAACTATTTAATAATATTACATTACACACAAACGTTTCGACTCCGATCGAGTCATTTTCAATGTGAGAAAACAAATTTCAAATTACAAAATAATAACGTCGGAATATATAAACCTTAACAAATAAAAACGTCTGAATATCCAATTGTAGTCAAAAATACTGGTAAAGAAATTTATTCTCCGTAAGTGACGTTAAAATTGCGTAGCCAAATCAGTCCAGATATAAAAAGTTCATCTTTGTATTATTATGTCTATAAACGGTCAAACTAAAGTTAATATCAAGTCTTTGATGTCTATTATATACATATAAATTCTAAATATCTTGTTATATAGTAGTAAGTCCAATTATAAAAAGTTTCTTTATGTAAAAAAATCCACCAGTTCACATCATTGTTAAAAAATTGGGGCAATAATGCAGACAATGCTAAGAAAAACTCTGACGGTATCCAGCAGTGTAATGATCACAGACAAACAGGAGACAAACATGAGAATAAGTGAAAACTGGAAGGGGACAAACGGAAGAAACTAAGAGGAGGAAAGCGATAGTATAACATTGGAATATGATTCTGGTAGTAATTCCGTATCATTCTGTTTGTTAATTCCGTGTTTTTGTCTTTTTATGTGCACCATTTCCGATACCAATCTCTTATTATAAGAGAGCTCTATATCCAAAATCTCCACATTATCCCAATAAAAAATGTGATTTTCGCCATGCGGTAGTTAGAAATCACTGATGGAAATTTGCTTCTCTTATTGATATCGGAAATGTGTTCATGCACTCTCGTCTATAATTGTCTTCTTGTCTGACCAACATAACTAATATCGCAATCGCAACACGAAATTTTGTAGACAACATTCTGATTTTTTGATGGTCCCAATTAGTCTTTCCCTCTCTTTATTAAACTCTAATGTATTCGGAATCATGTAAGCCAATTTACAATTAAACATATTCGCTATCGGTGCAAATTTTTCAGAAACAGAATCAACAAAAGGAACTGTAAAGAATTTGTCTTTTTTTTATTATTAATATTAGTATTATTGTGATTATTGATATAAAATTTAATCCGTTTTTTAATAGTCGAAAAAACAAATTGTAAGAGGTATCCATTGTTTAAAAAAATTTTTTATGGAATTAATCAAATTATTTTGCTGGAAATGTGGATGACATAAACGAAATATTTTGTCCACAACACCATATATTACCCCTCTCTTATGACAAATTCGATGGTGTGAGTAATAGTTAAGAAATCTACCGGAAAAGGTTGCTTTACAATATCTGTCAAAAATGAGTCTCTGTTCTTCAGTAATTAGTAAAGTGTCCAAAAAGCTCAGTCTTCCGTCTATGCCAAATAAAAAATAATGTGTTTACGTATTCATATACATTTTTTAAATAAAATTGAATAAATTATTATAGAAAATTATTATTTTAATGATTTATTCAACTTTATTTTAAAAAATACGTATGTATACAGATATGTGAATACATTATTGTAATAATTCTGTGAGAAAGAAAATTTTGTCACAGATACAGAAAAAAATGGTATTTTGATCGTTTCTTAAGCGGTATTTCGATCGTTTCTTGAACGTTTTTTATCAGAAAAAAACATTTTCCTTAACGTTTTTTGAATGGACATTTTAACCAATCAGAAACGTTTTCAAGAGCCGGTTATGAAATGTTTCAAAAAAGCATTTGTAAAACTTTTTTAAACGAATATGTGCTACCTGGATGTTTATACGTCGATAGATCTCCATTAGATACAACTATAAATTATAGGAATTGCTATGCTTAGTACGTACGTAGTGCTGCCACAGGAGGGACACGTTTTTCATAAAAACAAAACGAATCCATTTGACGGCGATACTGCGTATTATGCCGCTTGCTTGGCGGCATTTATAGCGTATACTCTGCAAGCGGCATAATACGCAGTATCGCCACAAGATGGACTCGTTTTCCGTAAGGAGAAAATGACGCGGATCCCTATAAATAAGCATATGTAAATGAAATCCATCATTTACTTTTAGCTTGATCAGAATGTGCTCGTAGAGTCTCTGAAAGTGCTTTTTTTAAAATAAAGTTATTAATAGTTAGTTTCTGTGATGCATATTCATTTCCTGCATTTTGTATCTTGCTGAAACGCGGATATATAGAAATTCTTAGCACTATTCAGCATTACTGAACACTTCTACACTACTACAGTAGTGTAGTAGTGCTGTAGTACAGTAGTACTGTAGTGTTGCAGTACAGTAGTGCCTCAAAATACTCCTAGTGCTCAGTAGTACTTTTCTACAAGGGTCTAACTGCTTTTCTATGTGTTTCTTTTCGCTGTAATTACGTACGAAAGCAGACGGAAGGTAAAAGAGGTTTTAAGTGGCGGTCACTGTTTGTTGAAAAATTATTAACAAATAAAGTCTAAAAAATGTCTCATTTCTGCTGTATACTGACGGGCATATGACTTTCCACACAAAGGGAAGTCGACCTATCTCCTCCTCTGCCATAGGACTTTCCAAGTGAAGCGATTTAAGTTTGATCCCCCCCCTCGGAGCATTAGACTTTCCACGTGAAGTGAGGTCCACCCCATCTCCCCCCTGCCACAGGACGTATGACTTTCCATGCGAAGTAAGGTCCACTCCACCCCAAGATCTAGGAGAAAGTTGGTTGTCCCTTGGCTAAAAGAAGATGGAATGAACCTCGTTTCACGTGGAAAGTTGTACAATCCTACACAGAGGGGAGATGGAATGGACCTCCCTTTGAATGAAAAGTCGAACGTCCCTAGACAGGAAAGATATAGGGTAATTTTTAATATTGTATATGGTAAAAATAAGACATTTTTTAAACTTTATTTGTTAATAACTTTTGAACGAACAGTAACCGCCACCTAAAACCTCTTGAAGGTTACTTAGTCATGATCTTGACAACATACATCAAAATTAAGATCATCGAAGAGATGTCCTTTAATGTAAAGATTTATCACATTAATTAAGAAATCCTTATAATTCTTGAAATTATCAGGATTTCTTAATAAGTTATATATGTATGTTAAAATGTAATAATAGTATAATGGCAATTGATCCGTATTAAAGGTAAATGTTTTGCAAAGCGTTTTGTAAATATTTTGCATTAAAATAATTTATAATGTACTTGGTAATTTTTATTATGTAGTTCATAAAATATTTTTTTGTGTATTTCAAAAATTCCTATATTTACGGTAATATTATTAAGCTGCCAAATCGTCCCTTTATCACTAAACATGGTAAAAATAACAAATTTTGCGGTAAAGTATTATGAAAAGTTCTTTCCATGCAGATTTTATTTTTTTTCAAAGAAGATATGTAAAAAAATAGCTAAAATTGGCTCTGAATGGACATCTTTAAAACCTGTGCTGTTGTCATTTTGGAAGTCCGCACATTCATGAAAAAAAGTTTATTTATCCAGCAAAGCTTGGGAAACCTTCCAAAAATAATAAAATAGGTCGTTTAACGCTCTGCAAAGAAACTTATTTTGTGTCTAATGAATGATGATAGATTTCGAAATTAATGTTTACAATTAATACAAGTTGGAAATACTATAAAAATATACTAAAAGGAAGAGCTACAAATATATATAGGTATATAGTATATTATAGTATATTAGAGGTTTTAGCCGTTGATCGGACATCTTGCGTAATGCTAATGCCGGCGATACTGTTTCAAATCTTATAACTCGAAAAGTACTTAACGAAAATAACTTTATTATAGTGTTTTGAAAAGCTCTTGACACCATGCTATTAGATTTTGACATCAAGAATAGGGTGTTCTATTTAAAAAAATCAATTTGATCTTGACGCAACTTTGGCGACGTCACCTAAGGTCAAGCGAATGTAATCAATAAATATACCTTTTTAAACTGTACAACTTTTGTCTGAAACATTTTTCTTAAAAATGCTTTGCTTTCAAGATATTCGACCGTTTCCAGACTTTTGATACACCCTTGCATATATACATATACATATATGTATAATATATATACATATATATATGTATATATATATACATATATATATACATATACATATATTTGCAGATCTTCCTGGTAGTGTATTCTTATTTCATAATCCAACTTGTGTTAAATGTAAACACACCATTAATTTCGAAATCTATCATCGTTCATTAAACACAAGATATGTTTCTTTGCAGAGCGTTTAAACGACCTATTTTATTATTTTTTGAAGATTCCCCAAGCTTTATTCTGGATAAATAAGCATTCTTTCATGAATGTACAGACTTCCAAAATGACAACTGCATAGATTTTAAAGGTGTCCATTCAGGGCCAATTTTGGCCATTTTTACACATCCTCCTTTGATTTTAAGTATTAATTATAAAGATGTGTAATGTTAGAAAGATAAGTTACAAATTACTTTGATATTTTCATAAAAGAAAATTAATTCTAACTTCCATTAAATATTTTCTAAAAATGTAATGTTCTTAAATAGTAATGCTGTAGTTGTGTGATACTTTGCACATGTGAATATAATTAATTTTTAATATCATTTTCAGAATATAAGATTTATTTATTTTCAAACATTTTATTACGATACATATCGGAGTGATAAATCAAATTATTTTATGCGAATTGGATATTTGGACTATAAATTATACATAGTCTTTATCAATTAATAAGAGAGAAATTAATAAAAACGTAGAAAAAGAAGAAAGAGAAGCTTCTCATTCCTGTATTTAAATTCTATATTTAAATTACCAAAAGTTACATAAAGTACTAACCTTGATGATGATGATGTGGAATGGAAGGCGGCGCTGTCGGATGATAAGATGTTGGTGGATACGGCACTGGACAAAGAGCTGCACCAGCCGCTGCTGCAGCTGCATAAAAATGATGATGATGATGATGATGATGGTGAGCTGAATGATGTGAATGATGATGCATAGTCGTCGTTGTGCCAACTTTATTTCTTAATATTCTTGATATACTAGATACTGATGGGACGTTATATTTGTCACAAACGCCATCAGACAATAATCGATCTCTGATCTCCCATGCAAAAATCCCTGGATCTTTTAATTTCAATTGCTTTATGTATTGCACAACTTTTGGTGTAGTTACACGTGGCTTGCTGCCACCAATTGCGCCTGGTAGAATACTACCCGTTTCGTGATAGCGTGCCAATATTTTACTGACACATCCGTGGCTAACACGTAATTGGCGTGAGATATCACATGGTCTGATACCCAATTGTGCAAGCTCGACTATTCTCAATCTGACTGCATTGGGAAGTGGTCTTCCATTAACGAATACACCGCCTAATTGATTTACTTCTCCATATTGTTGTTGATGTTGCTGCTGTTGATGCAATTGTTGCGGTTGCTCCCCAATTTCGATACTAGTGTTTTCTGTAACATAATTAATTAATATTTTATTACACAGATTATAAATTATTAGTAAGCATAAATAATAATAAAGATCTTATTTTAAAAGGTTTAAGTTTAATTGTTAACATCTTACTATTTATATTCTTGAGGCTTCCAATTGTTGCGGTTGCTCACCAATTTCGATACTAGTGTTTTCTGTATAAAAGTTATGCGTTTCGCGGATTTCCTCCGTGTTCAGATCCATTCTTGAGATGCCAACGTTTCGTGAACCTTGCAGTCCACTTCATCAGGACGAGGAGCAGCCTAATACTGTATCAGTATGAAGTGGATTGCAAGGTTCAAGAAACGTTGGCATCTCAAGAATGGATCTGGACACGGAGGAAATCCGCGAAACGCATAACCTTTATCTTAGTATTAACTTAAACTATAAAACAGACCGTTTTAATTAATGCAGACATTTTATTTATTAGGTTTATTTTATTAGGTTTTTATTATACAACAAATATTTTGAATAATTTAAACAAAAGTTACGCAATATGAGAAGGAGCACGATCGAACATTACTTCGACATTAGTTAAGATTTCCAAAATCAAAACAAGATCAATTCAAACAGAAGTTTTCATTAAATTTTCAGTTTTTTAAACTAAGATAAACAGTTTGAAACTCTTTAGACTTTTTTTCTGGACAAGTATATGTACAGGTATTAGGTGTACAACTTTGCTTCCACCGTTTTCCTATAGATGACTTTAGCGGTAAGTGATGGTCGAAATAAATAGATCATACAATAAATTTGGGCATCTATCAACATAACCCCATAGAAACATTAGTCGATTTGTGTCTGCATCATAAAGTTATTCTCGATTGAAAATGTCAGTTTACGAGCCAAATTCTCGTCATTTGTGGGAGGTTTTAATTTTCTGCTTCAATATGAAGAAATCTGCGGCTGAGGCTCATCGAATGCTCTCAAATACTTATGGTGAGGCCGCTATTAATGAAAGAACATGTCGTGAGTGATTTCAACGCTTCAAGAACGGTGATTTTGACAGGAATTATCTGTATAAAGTACCTATAAGTGAATGTACATAAGATTTTCCAGAATTTTTTCACTTCATTACAAAACATTTTTATTGAATTATGTATATATTTACTTTATGCTGTTCTGCAAAATGTAAATATGTAACGCGAGAATTTTTCAAGAGTTTTTCCATATATGCACGATTGTCTTCAGCTCCAATAGAGCTATTTGATATTATAAAGCAATATTATAAACATTAAATTAGTTTATGGTCTATTTTACAGACAGGTGTGGCGGTTTACGCTGCATCCCAATCTTAAATTTAAAATCGTATTATGAAATAATTAAGAGAAAAAATAATTTAAATAAAACTGATTTAGAGAGGAAAATAAAACGACATAATATTATCAATAATATAGTCACTATTACTTAAACTACAATTGCAAAGAAAAATCGTAAAAATTATATTTTCGCATTCGTAGAATTCGTTTCTAGTTGATTTGGTACATAAATAAGCCACAAATATACGAATTATGAATTTGTACTTCTTTAATTAGTTAAACAGATCATGATTTTATTAATATTAACCCTTACTCTACAAGTGGGGATTACTAGTGACCGAGCGATTCCTGTTCATGCAAGTTTCTCGCAAGCTCGATTAATTCGGCGCTTGTTATGTTACTGTAAAAAAAGTTTGTGGTGGGGGAGACTCGTACGCGGCGGGGCGATCCCGGCCGTCAATCTGCCTATGACTGGCGTGCAGTTCAAGTTGACGTGAGACGCTAGTGACCCCCGTAAGTATACAAAGGGTGCTTTTTGTGAAAAATAAAAATTGTGTCAAAATCATTATAAGTATTTTCACTCTAAATTAACACCTGAATGTTTGTTTTCATTAAAAAAATGTTTTTTAAAGGAATTTATTTTTTAGACAAAATGGATAGAGCTGAAGAGGCGAGTCACGCCTTTCTTTACATATTTATCTAAATGTGTATTTACAGTGTATATTTTTTTATTAAAATTTATATTATTTTTTTTTATTATATTATATTATTAATGTGCTCAAATAATTCAACTTTTTGTAGAATTTAAAGTTCTAGTATTTTTTTTTCAAAACTTCATATCTAAACCATAGAATCATTTTTTTAATTTCATTTATTATGAAAAGTTATTTTTTTTTAATGAAATGCCATTTTTTCCTAACTTATGAATCTTTCGGTAATTGAGGGGATGGGCGGAATAAAAAGACACAATTTTACTTAGGCCCTTTTTCCGGCAATTAACTTTTTCATGTAATATTGATCGTAATAAAAAAGTATTGTAACATATAACTTCTTAAAGACATTACAGAAATTCATTTGATACTGTACCCATCTGTGTATAATAAAAAAGTAGCCAGTTATTTTAAATTTATTAATATCAAGATTTTTTATTAGACCTTTATTCCGCCCATCCCCTCAATTATAAATTATATTACATTTTATTATTTTCCAAAATGAAATTTCAATATTTATTATAGAAATTGAAAATATATATGTTAGTGAATTTTTAGAGACTTTTTAAATCATTCCGAATAGGTGAAAAAACGAACGGATTCTAGTAATTCCCGTTTGTATGGATGAGGCACCAAATTGTAGCTCTTGTACGGTAAGGGTAAAGTTTAATAAATAATATTCGTAAAGAGGACTCTTAATAATAATAAAAATTAAATATGAAAACAAGACATATAAGAGTCAATACTAACGCACAATATTAAAAAATACTCAAAATTCTATTACATTGAATAACATTACATTAAATAACATTACATAAATTCCATTGCAAAATATTACATGTTTCGGTCTTTATATTAGACCCTCTTCAAATATATGATAAATATAAAATTATTACATTACTTCGAAAACGCTGAATAAAATTCAATAGTAAACCACGTCAACGAATGAACATAAACCAAAGGTATCGAAATTGCTTGACAAAAGGTTGGATGGCCGATTGAACAGAATTTCTTGACGTTCATTATACGTCAACAATTTAAAAACTCGAAGACGAAATATTCATAATCTTCTTGTCAGTCAGTGTCATAGCAAACAATAATTAATATTCGTCATAATATAAAATCACAAAGTCCAATTCCATTAAATTATATTTTTCAATAATAGACAATCAAAGTATAAAAATTGTAGAAAGTCCAGAGATAAAATGTAACATAATTATTATTTGCTATGACACTGACTGACAAGAAGATTATGAATATTTCATCTTCGAGTTTTTAAATTGTTGACGTATAATGAACGTCAAGAAATTCTGTTCAATCGGCCATCCAACCTTTTGTCAAGCAATTTTGATACCTTTGGTTTATGTTCATTCGTTGACGTGGTTTACTATTGAATTTTATTCAGCGTTTTCGAAGTAATGTAACAATTTTATATTTATCATATATCTGAAGAGGGTCTAATATAAAGACCGAAACATATAATATTTTGCAATGGAATTTATGTAATGTTATTTAATGTAATGTTATTCAATGTAATAGAATTTTGATTACTTTTTAATATTGTGCGTTAGTATTGACTCTTATATGCCTTGTTTTCATATTTAAAGTGTAATAGTTAGTTTCTGAGAAATAAGGGGTGTCGCTTTAGAAGATCTATGTCAATATCGGCGACTTTCCCTTACATTTTTTTGAGCAAAAATCTACCCTTTTTTGGAGGATATTAAAAAAGGTCCGGTTTTTGTCTAAAAGAATGTAAGTAAAAGAAATAGTTTTTTGTAGATTTTGACTTCCTGAATATGATAAAATTATTGAAAAGTTCGTGATACTTGGGGAACATCTCGAAAAGTGAGTAAGCATATTGAAATTTGTTCAAATATATCATGTTCATGCCCAATTTTCAAGGTGTTCCCTATTGATCCCGAAATTTTTATTAACATTATCGTATTCAAGAAATAAAAATCTATAAAAAAAAACTTTATTCCTTTTATTTACATTATGCGTAAAAATTGGCTTCTCTTAAACATCCTCCTTTCTCTGAAATTTTTTTTATTGTGATTTTTTTCCAGTAAAAAATTCTCGGTGACGTTTCCTATACTCCAAGCAATGTAAAACGCTTGAAGTGGGGGAAACGGCATCGACATGACAAATATTATAGTGAAAAATATAATCTAATCAATGTTTCGTGGTGCAGTATTACTCGTTTTTGATGTCATTTGGAATTAAATTCATAAATAAATTACACCAGTTCACAAAAAAATTTTTTTTCAATTATTTTGGACCGGACTACGTGTCTCTTATAGATTTTTAAATGCTGAAAACGATGCCGCAAACGAAAAAATTCTAGCACGTCAGATTTCCAAGATAATTGAAATTTAATACTTAAAAAATGGCTTCTTTGCGATATTTGACATTTTTTAATAAAGAAGGTTAACGTTATCTTGAAATTTCGATCAGAAGTCATGAATGTATTGTTCATTCCCTATAAAATATATTTTTTTTTATTTCAATACCTTACTTTTTAGCCATGTTATGAACGATTAAAGATAAAAGCTATTTCGAATATGAGGACCGCGACAATGTCATATGCGCATGCGGTAACGCTAAAATCATTTTAAAACAACAACAATGCGCATACACACACACATAGCAGTGATGCCAATTTCTAGTGATTTTCGAGCTAGATGTAGCGTTTTTTAGAGGTTGTCTAGTTGCAAAATTTAAGAAAAAAAAATTCCGTCAGAATTACCGCTAGCCGCATTTCTTAAATTTTGCAGTTAGACAACCTCTAAAAAACGTTAGATCTAGCTGGAAAACTGCTAAATTAGCATCACTGAAAAAACGCTAGATCTACTGGAAAACCGCTAAATTGGCATC